ATCCTATTACGATCCTACTTAGATCATTTTTAGCTCATTTTAAGACCATTTTAAGACTATTTATGAGATAAGAAATGCAAAGAAGAAAAAATACGAAACAGCTCGTGCAGAGAGTCGAATCCTGAACCTGTAGATCAGAAGTCTACGATGGTATATCCACTACATCACACGGCTATACAAATATATGTGTTCTTATTCCTTCTGTTTTTTAATTTTCACTTTAACAAACTAGTAATTTTGATTAATTAGCCTCTAGTTTTTTCTACAAACACGTAGAGAGTCAAGCCTAGAGACTAATAGATAGTAAACTTAATTGTTGACATTTTTTTACTTTCAATCCGACCTAGGAAAACACTTCCTTCATGGCGAAAAACGGAAAATAAAGTAAAAAGGGATTTTCACCCTGAAGAAAGGATTTTCGGGGGTCGGGTTCACAGTAAAAAATATCAGAAATAAAGTTTACTATCTTTTAGTCTCTAGGCTCAACTCTGTACAGTGTTTATGGAAAACCGTAGAAGATAAATGCGCATAATTCCATAAAAACTGCTACTTCCGTTTGGTCATAATATCCCATAAATGACTAATCTAATACACATAAATGATATGATCTACTTATGACCACAAAATGTGACCAATATAATTGTAAGAAAATGATCATTTTAGATCAGAAGTTAAAAATGACACATAAATGTCACATCTACGATCCTAAAGATATGATATAAAAATGATACATAAATAGATCATTTTTAGATGATCATAACAAGATCATATTCAGATCATTTTTACAAATTCTATCATATATACATCATTTTTATCTCATTTTATGAAATGGTCTTAAAATGACTCAAATATGATACCATTTTAAACTCATATTTAAATCATTTTAGGGTCATAATATGATCATTTTCACTTCATATCATGAGCTTTTACCCAGGTCGCTTATTACGTTGTGAGTTAAATATTCTAGTTGTGAATAGCAAGAAGAATACCCCACATGTTTAATCTGGTTTCTCTTCATGTTCATCACACATCAATATGCGATCTACGTATTTTCTTCCTATATCCATGCGTGAACATGTTCGTCCAATCGGAAAGTTTTTGCACACTCGATCTTTCCAATCAAAATAGGGAAGCGCTGTTTTACAAGATCATACTTGCCAGGCCAAGCAATATTTAGATCAAAGCAAAGCAGAAAGACAGTAAATACTCCGTAAACAAACAAATAACTAATATTCTGACTTCTATTCAACACGTATCTCTTCGTTAGAGTAAAGATATTCCAACTTGCTTCTACAATTTTGAACAAAAAATGGGCTGTTTTTTGTAAAATTGTTTTCTCAGAAAAAATAATAGTTGTCAAAATTTTTTAATAGCATGTTCGGATAGAGCTGGCTTCAAATCCCGTAGTCATGTACTTTTTTCTTCTTGCGAAATACTATTAAGAATAAAAAGGAAAAGAGCAGTTGAAATGCTCGGTGTCTCTATAATTTTGAGCAGTACTGTATATCAGATTTCATTTTGATGTCAGAGCATTAAAATAAACACGTAACAATACATGATTTAACAATTCTTATGTACAACGTGTTTAAAACTAGAGTTATGAATAATTCTTCAACGTCATGATTAAAGCTGAGCGGTTACGGCCTAGCAGACAAGTCATTAAACACCGCCTGAACAGACCTCTCTTCGCAGACCACCCCATCATCCTTCGTCTACACTTCTCTGCATCATTTCTTTTTACAATTTTTAGCATACAGTACCGCGAGCTGTCTCAGTTACTGTTACTCCTCCTTCGTTACGTCATAGAACTGCTGATTCATTTCCTACAACAGTTCCAGCAAGGAAAGTTTTGGTAATTTTTCCTAAAATTTTTCAACTTGAACTTCGGTTAATGCAATTGATTACAGTGTACCCTGATTTTTTTTAAGTTTAGATGTTTCAATATAGCAATTTAATGGAATTGAAGTATGATTTGACTTCGATTAGATCTTTCATGCGGAAAATGATTACGGCAATTTATACACGTAGTGAAATATTAGCTGATAAACATTGTGATACTGAAGATGAACGATATAATACTGTAACTGGTAAGCTGTTGTATTTCTTGAGTCCGTTTCAACAGGTACAGAATGCTGTGGGACTTTGTACGGCTGATTCAGTTGAAACGTCAATACTAAGGGGCAATCCTCAGAGTGGTTCGTTAATAATTAAAATAGTCGTGCTTAAAAATACTTTTTCACTACTATTTCCCAAGAAAAAGAAATCGGGAAAGAATTTCGTCGAAGGTGAGTGTATTGCAAAGTTTTAGTTGCACCCATTCATTAATTCTTCGCCTGTTAAGAGCTTTTCTGCATTTTTGTATGTTTTAGAAGGTCTAAAAAATGGTTTCGAATTGAATGGTGATGTCGTTGAAGCTTTAGCAGCATCATTGAAAGAATAGCAAACACAAATAATTCCAAATATTTGAACACTCAGTCCTAGGAGAGTTTTATGCTAGTCGTTTTGTTATATTTTTATATTTTGTGAAATGAATAGTCGCAAAAGATAATTGCTTATATAAAATATAGATCAAGCAGAAAAGTGATGATTAAAAGGCAACACCCCACATGGAAGCACCTAATCGGGGATTCTCTGTGACTAAAGAGTAAATTCTGTAAAATTCGCTGGAGACTCCTGGAACTAGGGACTCTCTAGTGATTTATAGAATGACTCCCATAAAAATCCCTAGGGGTTCCCCAGAATCTCCTCAAACTCCCTGGGGAATCCGTTTGGTGCTTCCCTGAGTAGTTCTTTTAGGGATTCCCAGATGATTTTTACAGGGAAAGTAGACTAGGGATAGTAGTAACACGGTATCCACTCTCAAGTGTTCGTTTTATAACAGATTTTGTAATGAGAAAGCAAAGGCAACAGCACCGAAGTTGAAAAGCATCAAAATAAAAGATTTGTATCGTTTTGAGGAAGCATGAGGATTGTTTTAAATTCAGAAATAGTTTTAGACCTCTTGAGATTTTTGCTCTTTATATTCATATTAGATTCTAAACCTTACACATGAAAACAGAAAAAGTCCAGAAGATCTCTTAGGTAGGTCTCCAGCGAGCGCCGACCGAAGGGAGGTGTGAGCATTGTTTTGAATTCAGGAATATGTTTAGATCTCTACAGATTTTTGATTTATATATTTATATCAGATTACGAACCTTATACATAAAAAAAGAAAAAAAATCTAGCAGATGCCCTAGTTAGAGCCCAGCGAGCGTCGACCGAAGGGAGGCGTGAGCATTGTGTTCGATTTATAAGTCATCAAAGGGCGTTCGCTTGCGCAGATCCAACTTAATAAAGCCAAGGGGCCGAGCGAGTGGAGACGAGCGCTACCTTGTTGTTTATCCTGCCATTTTAGATGTTCATCAAACTCGATCAAACTGATTCGTTTCATAATACTGGTTTAGCGATGTCGTTATGTTTCAGTCGCAACATTACAATGTCACTATCACACAGGATTAACCTGATTAAAATGGTTCCTTCTTTTTCATCAAGGTATTGATAAGAATACAAGCAGCAGCATCACTTTTTTTATTTCGTTTTCCTCATAACAGGATGCTTTCATACAGTTCCACTCACTTTATACAGATCTCACAGCCAAGAAGATTTCAATATGGGCTTGTAATATCTCTAGCCACCTTTAATATCACGATGTTCGCATATTTCAATTAGCTGACCATCTTGTTGACTGTTACTCTTCTTCAGCGTATAACATAACACTTCTTTCAATTCGCCAATTGAGTTTTCAATGAACAGTTCAGGAGTCCAATTCGTTTCGTTATATTTCAATATGGTTATAAATTTTCTCTCGTTTAGTTGGCGATATTGATCAGTTGTTAACCTTAACTTCGCTGAATCGGATAACCATCGTGCTTCAATGTACACCTGTGCCTGATATTTTTCATTCAATGTGTCAATCTCACCTACAAAATTAATAAAGGGTTATTCTCGCTAAAGTTTCATATAATTTTATATGGTGACACAAGATAGAAACTAATCTAGATTTTGACATACGACTGGCATAGGCTATTACATGTTCCCTGCGCTCAATATTTTGGGCGAGAACAGCACCAGGACCATAGTTACAGGCATCCAACTGTAACATAAACGGATAGTCAAAGTTAGGATAAGTGACTATAGGCGCAGCAATCAGCCGTTCTTTTAATAATTCAAATGCCTGTTGACGTTCGGGCGTAAACACAAAGATTGGGTTGTGTTTTTCTCGAATCGAGTCAAACAAAGGCTCAGCAACTTCTGCATAATTTTTAATAAAACGTCTGTGATAGCCAGGTAGTCCTAGAAAAGCACGGACATCATTTGTTTTACTAAGAATAGGAAATGATCTTACAGCCTCTAACTTTTCCGGGTCCGGTCTAATTCCTTGCGCGCTTACAATGTCGCCTAAATATTTAAGTTCTTGATGGCAAAAGAAACATTTTGATGGTTTTAAAGTCAGGTCACTGGTTATAATGCGTTTCAGAACATCATCTATGTCTTTAAGATGTTGTTCAAAGGTTGGTGAATATATTATCACATCATCAAGGTAGACCATGCAACAGCTCCATTTCAAACCTCGAAGGACAAGATCCATGAGACGCTGGAAAGTCGCTGGTGCATTAGTCAGCCCAAATGGCATCACATTAAATTGAAAGATACCTTCATGTGTGACAAAAGCTGTTTTTTCTTTACTGTTCTCATCTAACTCGACTTGCCAAAACCCTGATGAAAGATCTAAGGTGCTGAAATATTTCGCACCTTTAAAGGCATCGAGTGTATCATCGATTCTGGGAATCGGATATGTGTCTTTCACTGTGACTTCGTTAAGTTTGCGAAAATCAATGCAGAAACGAAGTGTTCCGTCCTTTTTAGGGACAAGAGTTACAGGACTGGCCCACGGTCCGAAACTAGGCTCGGCAACATCATTATTCAACATTTCGGCCGTTTGTTTAGTGCACTCTGCCTTTCTTTCAGGGTTTAATAATCGGTAAGGACCCTGTTTGATCGGTCTAGAATCACCAACATCAATATGATGTTTTACTACGTTGGTACGGCCAGGTTTTGAAGAGAAAATGTCTGAATATTGATGTAGCAATTACCTTAGTTGATTTTTCTGATTTACGGAAAGCTCAGCTGATGTTAAATCAAGTTTTGAGAGCCAATCACCAGGATTATGTGTAGTAGTATCTGCAGTATCTCTTGTTCTAGCGATTGGCTCTAATCGTTCTTCGGTTCTTACAGCTGAAAGTTGAGAATCGACTGGTTCAAAATCTGCGAAATTTGTCCTCTTCGCTAAAGGATGTACTGATACATTGGGGAAAGTTTCTGGCCTTGCATCTGTACTTTGATTCTTAAAAACAGAAAGAACAGAAAGCGATAATAACGAACCAAAATCTCCTTCTCCAACATCTGTATCAAATTTAACTTTTGCTTTCGAATTTTGAATGAATGAATACGATGGATCTTGTTGTTGAAGCTTCTTTCTGATCTTATCAATATAAGCATCTAATTTTTTGTCTGCAATAGAATGAGAAGATGAATTATGTCCTTCTTTTAATTCAGGCTTCGGTGATTCCTGTGAAATATTTGTAAATGTATCATCAACTCCTTCAGGTTTTTGTGCACTAGAAGCAGAGGAAAATGGATCAAAATACGCTAGCTTTTGTCCACAACGGATGTGAGTCCATCGTGGGGTCAGATTTGCAACCGTCACGCTGGTTATATTTTTATCAACAGTAACAATACTGTTAGCTGTCGATAAACGTGTACCAATGCACGTTGTAGTCGCTTCCCACTTTCGATCACTTATTTCCGGTGGCGTCCTAACAGAGACAAAAGCTTGATGAAAGGGAGGCAATCTTTTCTTTTCTACTGCACAGACAGGAATCTAATCTACCAGATTGATGTAAATCAGTAGAAAGAAGGAATTTTGCTAAAGGCTTGTTCCTTAACCAATACCTTCGATTCTGAATATCCAGAACTAGGCCGATTTCAAACATAAAATCAGTCCCTAACAATAGTTTTTGATTGAATTTACGTGCAAGGATAACAGGA